ATACGACAGTCACCCTGTACTCAGAAACTCCATGGCTCCCATGACAACACAGCCCAAACTTCTCAGGCTGCCCCTAAGGCTTACACAGCCTCACCTGCCACATTGCTGCCCCTCACTGCCGTCCAGGCTGCTCCAGCCATAGACTCCCGCCTCTACTCCTTTGCCCCACCCTTAGCCCCTACACTGAATCAAAACATTTCTCAGGGCTCCAGTTGTTCAGAGAGGTATGGAACCTCAGAGACGAGCTGGTCTGACCCTCTTATTTTATCCATGAGGAGCCGGTGACACTGAGAAGTCAATGGCATAGCCACAGATTGTAGATTTATCTCTTAAAAGGCAGCGAGAACAGTAGTGATCTCTGAATTTCTGGTGAGGGGTGCTGGAGATGGTAAGCTTCAAATGAGCAAACTCATGTAAACTTTCAAAAGCACAAACCACAAGGCAAAACAAAAGAAAGATCCTCCGAATGAATGAAGGATTTCTGTTCAATGGAAGACATCACGGACAAAGTTAATAGATGTAACATCATCAGAAGATATTTATAATGTCTGAAATTGATCGCAGATCAATACCTAGAACTCTGAAAGTTAAGAAATAGAGAGCAAATTCAATTTAAAAACAGAGCGAAGGATTTGACCATCCAATTAGGGAAAAAGAAATCCAAAAAGTTAACAAACATATCAATAAATGCCCAAACTCACTGGTTATTAGAAAAATATCAGATGAAACAACAATGTGATGTCACTTTACAACCACTGGACAGCTGGATAATGCTACAACATATGGGTAAAGATATGGGGATTTCTGTGTCCCATTTGGGGGTGAGAGTGAGTGGGGGAGAGTAGAGGGTGCTTGTCATTCAGGAAAGCTGTCTGGCCGTCCTTGGTCAAAGTAAGTATACACATGCCCTGTGACCAGCAGTTCTGCTCTTGGCAGAACTCTTGGCAGCAGTTCTGCCCACAGAAATCCGCACGGTGGGACCTGTAGGAGGCTACTGGAGCAGCACAATTTATGGAGACAGGGAGCTGGAGGCCATCTCCAAACTCATCAGCCAGGGAGCTGATGGGTAAAATATGCAGAGAACACCAGGGAGCATGATGCACCCTGACGCGTGGGTATAAGCAGTTCTAGAGCAACATGGGCCACTCATAAAAACAACAAGCTTAGAACAAAAGTAAGAAACAAAATGGGCTGAGTAACAGGACTAATCACATAATTTAAAAATAGAAGCACACAAAGGTTTTACCAAGTACACGTAGAAACAAAGCTGTATGTAGTCCATCACATACATTAGAATGGTTGTCTATGTGGAAAGGAGGATGGTGACCAAAGGGCTGTTCTGTTTGACTGCCTTGTTCCCTGGGTGGGTTAAAGGCAGGGGCGGTGGTCCTCTTGTTGCTGCTGGCTCTGGCATTTGGGAACAATTTGCTAAGGCTAAGGCCAAGGCTTTAGTCTTTTGGGCAAGAAGTGGGCTCAGAGGCCAGGGCCTCAGGAGCAGGGGCCGGGTAGAGAGGAGGCCGCCCTTCTAGGAGGCCCTAGAGACCTGCTCAAAGGTATCTTCCTTGTAACCCGTCTTGATGGCGAGAACCCCACCTCTGGAGATGAATCCCTTTGGTTCAGTACTTCGGGGAGATTTTGTAAGTCCACTCAATGAGTAAATATTAAAAAAATAACTTAGACAAGGGGAAAAGATGGTGCAGGGGAGGTGGTAGACTGTGCCAGGGTGTCAGAATCAGATAAACTGACAGATGCAAACTCCAGACCTTCCCTCCCTCGCAATTTTTCCTCCCAGAGCACACAGAACTAACCTTTATCTAGCACTTATTAAGAGCCAGCAGAGGGCTAGGGAATTTTTACATTTATTATATCATGTATTGCTCATAAAAATCCTACACGATGGGTGTTATCACTCCCATTTTACTGATAAGGAACACGAGCCTCAGAGAGTGTAACCCAGCTGAACGCATGCCCGTGCATCCACCCATCTTCCTCATTCGTCAGGGGACACCAGTCCTTCCACTGAGACAGCTGCACCAACTACAGTTTTTGCAATCCTCTCGTCAGTGTTCCCCCTAGCAGTGGGCCTGGGGTCTCCAGGCTCACCCTGGGGCCTGCACAGCAATTGGGATTGCTTCAGCAGGTATAAAGGTCTACGTTTCCTCGTTTCCTCAGAGGCCCCTGCCTTAGGGGACTCCGGGGCTTAAGCTAGATTCTAGGGCCTTCCTCTTTGTCCTCCCTCCCCTTGAGTCCTTGGATGGGCTCCCCGAAAACAGGTTCAGTTTCCAGGGAACTGGAGATGCCCCTCCACAGCTGTTTTCCACCCTCATCTGAATCTCCAGCCTCCCGGGACTCAAGATCTGGACAGTAGCTGTGATGGGGGAACCTTTATATCAGAATAGGAATACATTCCTAGAGGGTTAGTATAATATAAACAAAATGACAGTGAAAAATCTCTGTAAAACAGAAATGGGGAAGAGCTTTATCACACGCCTTAGCCCTGCAAGAACTAGGATTTTATGCAGGTCAAATCATGTTTGCAAACCCCCAAACTGCACAGAGCGAGTCCTGAGGAGATGCCTTCAGGAACGTAGCCATCAACTTAGCCACTTGACCCCTCCACTTCTTCATCCCGCCAACATTATATAAATGGTTTCCTTTTCCTCAGGCCCTAATCCAATTACTTTGAGCACAATTTGAAAGAAATTTGAAAGTAATTCCATCCAACAAAAAGTATTCTAAACATTCACGGAGGAGATGGGCTGTAACTTGCAGCAGACTGTCCCGGCCTCACCCAGAAGTCTTACTATAAACACTTGACAGGACGATTAACAAACACCATGAGCTCAACTGGACCTAAAGAGGGAAATAGTATCATTAGGGAAAACTAGGAATTCTCCATTTTTTTTCACCAAAAGGAATTTATACAACTGTGGAGAAAAGGTGTCACAAAAAGAAAAGTAGGTGAAGCTGTGGTTTATACGTGAAATAAAACAAACTCATGTAGGGTTTCTTTTACCCTTCTGGGAGCAAGTGGAGGCACCGGCTAGTAACAATTCAGTTCTATAAATATTTATTTTGTCATTGCTGCGTGTAAAGCGTCAGGCAAGTCCAGCTAAGATGCTATGAGACCGCAGAGTTCTCGAGACCCATGATTCTTCTGCGAGTCCAGATGGTGGGGAGCTCTCCAGGTGGGCTTTGAGGGCTCAGCCATCTGCTTGAACTGCTGCTGCCCTGACTGTCCCTGACAGTCTCATAACTAACACGTCAGATTAGAGGGAGCTTTCTCCCTTTTTCTCATTTCTCTAAAATGAGCTTTCTTGTTTGGGGGGGCGAAAAACCCAACAACAAAACCAAACAACTGTTCCCTCTTATCATCTTTTCCTGTCCTCCTTTCTCCAAGTTCCCAGAGAAAAAATTACACAGCACTGTGCTCTCCTGACCTCTGAGCTCTTCCACACACAGCGCACTGCTAGCCCTCAGTGTCCCCGCCTGGGCTGCGCCTCCCCTTCCCTCCACACCCGCGGACCTCACAGATTTCTCTGTCTCTCCTCTTCCAAAGCTCTTAAATTTTGTCCCTAGTTTCTCCACAGTCTTGCTCAATCCCTTCACTTGAGGCTTTTCCACAGGGTTAAACTTGGGTGGTGGTTTGATTTGAAAAAACAACCACCATATGTACATCTCCGTTATACTTATTTATTACTATGTAAGCCTCTTTCCTTTTTTCTTTTCTCTTTCTTTCTCTTTCTTTTCTTCTTTCTTTCTTTCCCTTTTTTCCCCCTTAATTTAGTCCAATAAACAAAGCATTGCCTTTAACACAGCATTTGGGGACTTTAGATTAAACTCTTGTACACTTTTTTTTTTTTTTTTAGACAGAGTCTCACTGTGTTGCCTGGGCTAGAGTGAGTGCCGTGGCGTCAGCCTAGCTCACAGCAACCTCAAACTCCTGGGCTCAAGCAATCCTTCTGCCTCAGCCTCCCGAGTAGCTGGGACTACAGGCATGCGCCACCATGCCCGGCTAATTTTTTCTATATATTTTTAGTTGTCCGATTAATTTCTTTCTATTTTTAGTAGAGACGGGGTCTCGCTCTTGCTCAGGCTGGTCTCGAACTCCTGAGCTCAAACGATCCGCCCGCCTCGGCCTCCCAGAGTGCTAGGATTACAGGTGTGAGCCACTGCGCCCGGCCTCTTGTACATGTTTTAAGAGCCCTTTATCTTAAGTTGGGCTCTTCTGCTGCCCAGCTGATGTTATTGAAATCCTTTGAAACCCCAGCGTTTCATCATTTTGGTCGTCTCGAAGCTTCTTTTTTTAAACCTATACTGTGTCTGGTAATAATAAGAACTAACATTTATAGAGACAAGCAATGCTTTGAAGTAAATACAATTATTAATATTATCCCCATTTTATAGAGGATGGAACTGAGGCACAGAAAGAGTAAATAACTTGCTCAAGGTCACACAGAAGGTAACTGAGCCAGGAATCTATCCCAATCTGTGAGCTTAACTGTGTCCAGGCTCCAGGGTCAAAGCGATCTCACGTGCATTCATATCACATCTCCCTTTTGGGGGGGTGGTGACCTGGATAATTTACTCAGCTTCTTTGACCCTCGGTCTACCTTTCAATAAAATTGAGATAAAGCATTTTTTGAAAGATCGAGCAGTAAATGAGAGAGACGCGTGACGGACCTAGTTCAGTCCCTAGCGCTCCGTAATTGTCAATGCTCCCATGTGCCCTAGCTGAACCCCCTCGTAGTCAGGGCTCGGTCCCGCGCCTCTACATACTCCCAGCTCACAGTGAGAGCCCGGTAATATCTGTTTAAGACGAATCCTCCAAGGGACTTCTATGTCTGCATCCACCTGGCACATTGGCCAGAGTCTCACTTTATCCCCACCTCTCGCTGCGCCCTGGTCCTAGGCTTGCCACGCTCTGCCATCGGTGCTTCTCCAGCCCAGCTTCTCTCTCTGTCCGGGACTGCTGCCCCGGGCGGGCACTCGCGTCTTACCATGGCATCGTAGCGCAAGGCGTTCATGAAGTGCGCCACCTCGGTGCCCTTGTACACGGTGAACCAGATGGTGCCCTGGTACTGGTCCCCGGCGTCCAGCAGCAGCACGTTGCGCTCGGCGTGGCGGATCTGCTGCACCTTGGTGAAGAGCCGAGCCACGCCGCCCACACAGCGGCTGGCATTGACGCACTTGCTCGAGTCCTCGCTGGTCTGCTCCAGCCGGCTGTGCACGTCGTTGGTGTGCAGGATCGTGAGCTCCCAGGCGCCGGCCGCGGCCCACAGCGACGCGCCCAGCGCGAGGAGGAGCAGCGCGGGCGCTCGCAGGGCTCGGGGACACATGGCTGCAGCGCGTGCAGCGAGCGCGGACGCGGGCGAGCCGGGCGAGCGCCAGCCGGTGCCAGCGAACTACCGGGGCCGGGGCTGGGCGCCCGGCCGCGGGGGCGGGGCCCGGGTCGGAGCCGGGGCGGGCCCTCCTTCAGCCCCGCGCGCCCGCGACGTCACCCGACCTGACCCGACCCTGGCACCCGGAGCGGCCCGGGCGCGGCTGGGCTGGCGGCTGGCACCCGCTCCCTGCAGAACAGTGGGGAGGTTGTTCGCGGCGGGGAGCCTACCGGGGAGCCTGGGCGCCGCAGTCCCACTGCTTCGGGCTGCTCTTTCGGGGCTGCGAGGGAGGAGCCGGAGGGGTCCGCCCCGCGCGTGGGTCCTCGCTGGTCATCGCCTCTTTCGATGAGCGCATTTTTCTATAGGCGGCATGGTTTGTGTTGGGCTTGTGGCGGCGTGAGCTCAGCACTTGGAAGAGCGAAAGAGGGAAAGGAGAGAGGACAGGAGAGAGGAGTGAGAACAAGGCGGGAGAGAGGAGCGCTTTGCACTTTCTGGCTGTGATATGGGCTTGAGAACGCACGGAGTCTACGATGCTGGGACGTGGACTCTTAGAAGCTAAGAAATCGTTGGAATACGCTCCCTCGTTTATTCACGATTAAGACCTAAGTGATAAAACAGCGGCCGTGCGTGGACAGCTGCTGGAAGCTAAAGGACCAACAGCTATGAGGATGTGACACTGTCCGATTTGTCTATTTTCTTTTTCTTTTGTTGCTTCTGCTTTTGGTGTCATGTCCAAGGAATCATACCAAATATGATGTCACGAAACTTTCCCTCGATGTTTTCTCCTGTATAATTTCAGCCGTTACACTGTAGGTCTTTAATCCATTTTGAGTTAATTTTTGCATATATAGTAAGAGTCCAGATTTATTCTTTTGCATGTGAATATCCAGTTTTCTCAGTACCATTTGTTGAATAGAAGTCCCTTGCCAGTTCTGTTTTTAAGACGTGGGGTTTGAAGCTCAGAGACTGTAAATCGTTTGCCCGGGGAAAGCTATGCAGACCGGGAGCAGAGACCTTTGCTTCTGAAACATGCTCTAAAGTCATGCTTTGCAAGGTTTTGTCCTGTCTCCCTTGCAGCTAGCAGATAGAAAAACTGGTAGTTGTTTTTTATTTTTAGCTTAAAAAATAATTTTAAACTTACAGAAGAGTTGTAAAGGTAATACAGTCAGTTCCCACAGACCCTTCACCCATATTCCCGTATATTAACAGTTTATATAACCAATGACACACAAAATTAACATTGATACAAAATTATCAACTATACTACTTTTATATGGATTCACCAGTTATTCCACTAATATCCTTTTTTTGTTCCGGGATCCACTCCGGGATACCACATCGCATTTCGTTTTCATGTGTCCTTAGTCTCCTCTAATCTGTGACAGTTTCTTAGTCATTTGTCTTCAATGACCTTGACACTTTTGAAGAGTATTGGTTTTTGTATATTTTCCCTCGGTTTGGGTTTGTTTGATGTTTTCTCATGATTGACTTAAATAGTGGATTTTTAGGAAGAATACCCTAGAGATGAGGTGCCTTTCTCATTGCATTGTATCTGGGGGGTACATGGTGTCAACAGGACTTATTGCTGATCACTGGGGAACTGATCATTTGTTGTTTTTTTATTATTTAAACCTAGGTCACTGTAATAGTTTCTGAAATTTCTGTCCTGGAGACTCTACCAGACTTCTACTTCAACATCATTCCTATGCTATTTGTTTGCATATAGATCTAAAATGGCCTTTGATTGCTTATTGAACCAAATTCAAGCTTCCTAACCTGGCCTTTTGAAGACTTCACTTTATGCAGAAACTTTACCTTCTGCTGTCTGTCACATATTCAGGTGGCCTCTTTCCTTCTTTCCAAACCACCACTCACACCCAGCCTGCCCTCAGGCCAGGGCCCAGTCTTGCTTAATGTTCTTGTTAAGTCAACATGAAATTTTTTTGACTCCTCCAGACAGCAGTGAGCTTTCTCTTCTCTAAATTCCTAGTCTGTTCCTACACTCTCACTTTAATGTGGTTTTACTTTTTTTCTCTGGTGTTTAATGTGTGTTTTTTGCCTTCCTTTCAAGTGATTGAAACAGAGTAGCTGCTTCAGCGGTACAGTTAGAGTTAATGCTACTCGTAGCATTAACCTAAAATGTACTTTAGAGACATTGAGCAATGACGTGAAAGAACCAAGAAGGATTTCAGCTCTTCTGGAGCTGATAATGCTACAGACGGGGCAAGGCTACATATATGAAACAGCTGCAGAGCCATCGGGGTCATAGAAAATTTCCTAAGTCAATGAGGGAAGAAAAATACACTTAATGAATTTCTCCAAGGCAAGTAGTTCTATATACAAATCGGGGCTTGATTTACTGTTTCATCAGTTGATTAGACCTAAGAAAGTAATGAAGAAAATGTCAATAATGCAGAATAAACTTTTTTTTTTTTTTGAGACAGGGTGTTGCTCTGTTGCCCTGGCTAGAGTGCAGTGGCTTTATCATAGCTTACTGCAACCTCAAACTCCTGGACTCAAGCCATCCTCCTGCCTCAGCCTCCCGAGTAGCTGAGACTACAGGCATGCACTACCACGCCTGGCTAATTTTTCTATTTTTTGTAGAGATGGGGTCTTGCTCTTGCTTAGCCTGGTCTCGAACTCCTGACCTCAAGGGATCCTCCTGCCTCGGCCTCCCAAAATGCTAGGTTTACAGGCGTGAGCCACCATGCCTGGCCTGACCAAGTGGGATTTATCTCAGAGATTCAAGGCTGGTTCAACATTTGTCCAAAAATCAGTTAATGCAGTCTATCATGTCAACAGGCTAATGAAGAAAAATTACGTGATCATAACAATAGGTGCAGAAAAAGCATTTGACAGAACCTAACACCCGCTCACAATAAATAATCTCAGAAAACTAGATATAGAGGGGAGGAGCTTCCTCAACTTGATAAAGAACACCTATAAAATAACCTACAACCAACATCATATGATACTTAATGGTGAGGCTTTCTCACTGACATCAGGGACATGGCAAAGATGTTCCCTCTCACCACTACTTTTTAACATTGTACTGGAAGTCCTAGCTAATTAAATAAGATAAGAAAAGGAAATAAAAAGTATACTGATTAGGAAGGAAGATATAAAACTGTCTTTATTCATAGATATTATAATTGTCTATATAGGATATCTGAAAGAACTGACAAAATCACTCCTGGAACTAATAAGCAATTATAGCAGAATTGTAGGATATCAGGATGATACACAGAAGTCAATATGTTATACTAGCAATGAATAAGTAGAATTTGAAATTTAAGACACAATACCATTTACATTGACACTCCCCAAAGATGAAATACTTAGGCATAAATCAAATAAAAAAACAAGATACATACCAGATCTCTTCTTTTTTTCCAAACAGAGTGTCTCCTCTGTAACCCAAGCTGGAATGTAGTGGTGCAATCACAGCTCACTGTAACCTCAACCTCCTGCCCTCAAGTGATAGTCTCACCTCAGCCTCCCAAGGTGTTGGGATTACAGGCATGAGCTACTGCATGCAGCCCATATGTACCAGATCTACATGAGGAAACTACATAACTTTGATTAAAAAAATAAAAGAAGACCTAATAAATGGAGAGATATTCCATATTCATGGATAGAAAGGCTTTATTTCTAAAATGTCAATTCTTCTTCACTTGATCTGTAGGTTCAATGCAATCCCAGTCAAAATCCCAGCAAGTTATTTTGTGGATGTCAACAAAGTGATTCTAACATTTATGTGGAGAGGCAAAAAGACCCAGGATAGCCAACACAATATTGAATGAGAAGAACGAAGTCAGAGGACTGACATTACTTGACTTCAGGACTTACAGTAAAGTTATGATAATCAAGACAGTGTGGTACTGGCAAAAGAATAGACAAATAGATCCATGAATCTGAATAGAGAGCCCAGAAACAATCCTGTGTAAATGTAGTCAACTGATCATTGACATGGGTGCAAAGGCAATACCATGGAGAAAACGTAGCCTTTCCAACAAACGGTGCTGGAACAACTGAACATCCCCCTGCAAAAAAAGCAAATCTAGACACAGATCTTATACCTTTCCCAAAAATTAACTCAAAATCAATCATTGTCCTAACTGTAAAAAGCAAAACCATTAAACTCCTAGAAAGTAACAGGAGAATATGAACTTGGGTATGCTGATGACATCAAAGTCATGAACCATGAAAGAAAGAATTGATAAGCTGGACTTCATTAAAGTTAAAACTTCTGCTCTTTAAAATAGATTGTCAAGATAATGAGTAGACAAGAAACAGAGTAAGAGGAAATATTTGCAAATATATCTGTTAAAGGACTATTACCCTTTGATGATAGAGTGCTGCTAAAGAAAAAAAAAATGACTATTACCCAAAATATACAAAAAAAATAAATAAATAAACTCTTAAAACTCAGCAGTACGACCTGACTTAAAAATTGGCCAAATACCTTAACAGACACTTCACTAAAGAAGATACGCTGATGGCAAATAAATATATGAAAAGAAGCTCCACATCATATGTCATCAGGGAAATATGAGTTAAAACAACAATAAGATACCACTACATATGTTTTAGCTTGGTCAAAATCCAGAACACTGACAACACCAAATGCTGGTGAGAATGTGGAGCACAGGTACTCTCATTCATTACTTATGGCATTGCAAAATGGTACAGCCATTCTGAAGGACAGCTTGGCATTTCTTACAAAAATAAACACTTTTAACATACAATCCAGAAATTGCACACCTTGGTATTTATTCAAATGAGTTAGAAACCTATGCCCACACAAAAATCTGCACATGGATTGTTTAGAGCAGTTTTATTCATAATTGCCAAAACTTGGAAGTGACCAAGATGTCCTTCAGTAGATAAATAGATGAATAAACTGTGGTATATCCAGATAATGGAATATCAGTGCTAAAAAGAAATGTGCTATCAAGTCATGAAAAGACATAGAGGAATGTTAAATGCTTATTACTAAGTAAAAAAAGCTAATCTGAAAAAGCTACATACTGTATGATTCCAAATA